GTGATTTTTTGTTATTTTATTTTTTACCTACGTGACTTTACCGAATAGAGCCAAAGAGTATGCTCTAGCCTCTTCACTGGTTAAGCTTTTGGTTCAGCCCTTTGGGCTCTTCGCTTCGGGGTCTTCAAGGTTACAGCTCCAGGGTGGCTCTTGAGTTATTAAGATGTTAATTAACCAAGTAAAATTTACCTGTTCAAAGTTGCTCCATCTTATTTGCCGGGTATTAGTCTATTTTACCTAGCAGTGTGGCTATTTTGCTTTGGATGTCATCATCTATCTTGGCAGAAATTATGTTGCCCTCATTACTCTCAGCGTCTCTGCTGTACTTGCAGCGTTCGCACTCCTCGCACCATTCACCCCCCCTAGCCTCCCCCGCTCTGACTTATTTAACTGCCCTAACCCTGGTCTCTCTCACACTTCAGTGAAAAATTCCTTGCTGTGGTTGTCACACCTGATGATGATTGCTTGTGTTGCAATCGTAACGTCGTGATTTATTTTATTTCATTAATTTTTTTTCACCTACGTGACTTTACAGAAAGAACCAAAGAGTATGGCTCTTGAGTCTTCAGGTGAACGACGACTGCCGTACCCGTTCAGCGGACTGTCTTTTATACCGGATTCTGCCTCACCCGCCCCTGGCCACTCCTCCCTTCTGGAACCGTCTTCCTGGGGGTCTGGGGGTTTGTACTTGTGGTCCCGAGCTGCCTTAGGATTACCTTAGCTCAACGGCCAGACTCATCACCCTTAGACTCCCTTCTGCTCCCTGTTGACTCGAGGCCGTTATTACACGCTACAAGTAGTGGCAATCACGTACAGCGCTCAACGATGCCGCTACATTATAGCAGCCCAGCCCCAGCCTGCCAAGGCGCCAACTACACTATTATAGAGTCGGTATATACGACTATAGAGAGATACTACTGTAGAGTAGGTAGATACTACTGCAGAATATTTAGTTACTTCTACTGTAGAGTGGGCAGTGGGGGGGGGGGGGGGGGGTATAGCAGCCCAGCCGCAGCCTGCTAAGGCACCACCTCGGCCAGCTGGGCAATCTAGGCAAGGCCGGGGGCTCTCCACGGGACTAGGCCTCACAACGACACTTTGTATACTTACTAGATACTATTATAGAGTCGGTAGATACGATTATAGAGTCAGTAGATACTACTGTAGAGTCGGTAGATACTACTGTAAAGTCGGGAGATACTACTGCAGAGTCGGTAGATGCTACTGTAGAGTCAGTAGATACTGCTATCGAGTGTGCAGATACTATACTCTTTGGGTCTTTTGGTAAAGTCACGTAGATAGAAAATAATAAAAACCATGACGTTTCGATCGCAAACGTCTTCAGGTGAAAAAATACAGCAGGAGAAATATAGCGAGAGAGCTGCTGCATCAAGAGGTTATATAGGTTTGAGATGGGTGCAACCCAAGGGTAAGTGGGCAGGGCTAGAGATGGAATTTGCATGTAAATGTAAGATCGGAGAGCCTGATATACCTCACGACTACGGTGCTAAAGAGGCGCACGATTGTATTGCAGAAGATTAGCATGTCAATCTGTTAATGTAACCCCACGAATAGGGTGCTGAAGAGGCGGCTATTGTATTGCTTAGAAATTATAGATTAGCATGTCAATGTGAGATGGCTCCCGCAGGTAGCGGCTGTGTTAATGAGAAGATTGGCAAGTCAGTGTCAGAGAACCGGGCACAAAAGCCACCTCGTGCCCTGTTCTCTAACATGCCAATCTTCTCATTAGATATTGCTATAGAGTCAGCAGTTACTGCTATAGTTAGTTGATACTACTTTAGAGTCAATAGATATGACTATAGATTCAGTAGATACTACTATAGTCATTAGAAACTACTGTAGAGTTAGTATATACTATAGAGTTGGTTGATACTACTATAGTCCAGCAGATACTATTGAGTCAGTAGAAACTACTGTCCTCAGTAGGTACCACTACGGTCAGTAAAGACTGCTATAGTCAGTAGATACTACTATACAGTCAGTAGATACTACTATGGTCAGTGGATACTACTATAGAGTCAGTAGATACTCATTGTTTTTTTCGGTAAAGTCACGTATGTAGAAATACAATACAATTATATTAAAACAAAAAAATCACGACGTTTCAATCACAATGCAAGCGATCTTCATCAGGTGTCAAGAACAAATCACGGAGGTAAATACAACAAAAAGATGAGAGATGAGAATTCAACAAACCTGAAAAAACATTATGTGAAGCACATCCAGTCAGGCCAACAACACAGACACTTCCTGGCAGACCACGAATTTCAGAAGAGTGTTAAATTTCATGTTCAACCTTTGGATTGCACATACCAGCATAGATAGAATGAAAAATACGAGGTACACGGTCAGTAGAAATACATATACAAGTCCAGCAAGAGGTAAGGAGGGAGGAAAGACGGACAGGGAGGCAGAGAGAGAGGGGGGGCCGGAGGGATGAACAGAAGCTTAAATAGGAAATACGGTTGGAGGGGGGGAGGGGCCAGAGTGAGAGCGGCAGCTCAAACACGCACATCTTACACATACAAAACGGCAGCTCAAAAAAGGACCACCTCTTGTAAATACAAAATGGCAGCTCAAAAAATGACCACCTCTTGTAAATACAAAACGGCAGTTCAAAAAAGGGCACATCTTACACGTAATTACAACGGTAACTTCCCCGTAGAAGTGTGATAATAAAGTATTAAAGCTTTCGTGACTGCATAAAATTACTCATTGTTTTTTTCGGTAAAGTCACGTATGTAGAAACACAATAAAATTATATTAAAACAAACAATCATGACGTTTCGATCACAATACTAGCGATCTTCATCAGGTGTCAAGAACAAATCATGGAGGTAAATACAACAAAAAGATGAGAGACGAGAATTCAACAAACCTGAAAAAAACATTATGTGATGCACATCCAGTCAGGCCAACAACACAGTTAAACACTTCCTGGCGGACCACGAATTTCAGAAGAGTGTTAAATTTCGTGTTCAACCTTTGGATTGCACATACCAGCATAGATAGAATGAAAAATACGAGGTACACAGTAGAAATACATATACAAGTCCAGCAAGAGGTAAGGAGAGAGGAAAGACGGACAGGGAGGAAGAGAGAGGGGGGGGGGCCCGGAGGGATGAACAGAAGCTTAAATAGGAAATACGGTTGGAGGGGGGGAGGGGCCAGAGTGAGAGCGGCAGCTCAAACATGCACATCTTACACATACAAAACGGCAGCTCAAAAAAGGACCACCTCTTGTAAATACAAAACGGCAGCTCAAAAAATGACCACTTCTTGTGAATACAAAACGGCAGCTCAAAAAAGGGCACATCTTACACATAATTACAACGGTAACTTCCCCGTAGAAGTGTGATAATAAAGTATGAAAGCTTTTGTGACTGCATAAAATTACTCATTGGTTTTTTCGGTAAAGTCACGTATGAGTAATTTTATGCAGTTACGAAAGCTTTAATACTTCAGTAGATACTACTATAGAGGAGATACTACTGTAGCATTAGTAGTTACTACTATAGTCAGTGGATACTCCTACCATCAGTAGTTACTACTATTGAGTCAGTAGATATCACTGTTGAATTAGTAGATCCTCCTACAGTCAGTAAATACCTCTACAATCAATATATACTATAGATTCAGTAGATACTACTATAATCATTAGATACTACTTACAGTCACTATTTACTACCATAGAGTTGGTTGATACTACTATTGAGACAGTAGATACTACTGTAGAGGTAGTAGATACTACTACTATGGTCAGTAAATACTTCTACAGTCAGTAGATACTATTATACGGTCAGTTGATACTACTGCAGTCAATAGATACTACTATAGTCTGGATACTACTATAGAGTCATTTGATACTCCTGCAGAGTCAGTAGATACTACTATAATCGGTAGATACTTCCGTAGATTCGGTAGATACTACTATAGAGTCAGTAGATAATACTACAGTCAGATGCCACTACAGTCAGTATATACTGCTGCAGAGTCAGTAGATACTGCTTTAGAGTCAGTAGATACTGCTATAGAGTTAGTAGTTACTACTATAGCGTCAGTTACTACTGGAGAGTCAGATACTGCTGTAATGGTTCGACAGAGGCGTGCACACTCTTGTGGAGGCAACACTTATTTATTTAACACAACTGCAACACAACTGCAACACACCCTACACATGAGGTGGTGACCACCGCCTACTCTCGCTAACACTCGGGTTCTACTTGGCGTGGCCAAGCCAGGAGGGCTTCTGCTTGGCCACGATGACTGGAGGCTTCTTCCTTCAGATTCTTCATGAGACGTCTTCATCCCAGGCATGAACAGCTCAGCTCTCTGTGCTGAGCCGGCTTATAAGCCCCCCTGGCGTGGCTGGCCACACCCTAGCCACGCCCTCCTCGAACCCACAAGAAGGCTCCACTCCCTGACCACGTAACCCCCAGGGTCCCCCAGGGCCCCTGGCCCCCACCTGGATCTGGTCACGTGTCCAGCCGGGGTCACTCAGAGTGCCACTACTACACACCGCACCAGGTACTCATTTGAGGCCGAATCGACCTAGGGGAGGCCCAGGACTGGTTCAGATCATCGTCACTGGTGTTGGCTATGAGCGGGAATCGTACCGGGGTCGCCGGGTGCATAGCGCAGCGTGCTAACCGCAACACTACCACTCCCCCATGCACGACACTATACACTACACTATATGCCACACTATACACTGCTATGCACTACACTATACACTACACTATAAACTATACACTACACCATACACTCCACACTAGTGCTGTACTTCGTAATGAATTAGCACGTTCTGTTCACGTGGCACTAAACCTTAGTAAATGGCTGTGTCGGGTGGTGGCGGGTTTATCGACAGCGCAACATTTATATATTTACGCCATCTAACCCAAACAAACAAACCTCTATTATGGATCTGTTTGGTTGTCTACGTTCATTGTCGTTGTTTTTCTTTGCTTTCCCCCTGCCAGATGGCTTCTGACATTCAATTGGCGTTCGTCAAGCAAGAAATAGATGAGAATGCAGGGCTTGGGACGTGGCTAGATTTCATGGAGAGACTGCAAGACATTGATGCTGGTGAGCACGGTGGCACCACGGTGGATAGCAGACGTTGACTACCTCGCCTGGTATACAGGAGGTCGTGGGTTCGATCCCGACCCTGACACTGCCTGCTGTATATTTGGAGTTTGCTTGTATCTCTCTCATCAGCATCACGGTGGCTAGGAGATGTTGACTACATCGCCTGGTATACAGGAGGTCGTGGGTTCGATCCCAACACACACACCTCTCTGTGCCTGTGTGTCTCTCTCTCTGTCTCTGTGTCATCTCTCTCTGCTTATGTGTCTGTCTATGTGTCTCTGGTTCTGTGTTTTATCTTTCTCTTAAATTTGGCAATCTTTGGAAGAACGTGATCAACCAGGTAGGGTGTTGACTGTTATGTTGGCCGACTGTGTGTGTTGTATTGCATTATATTTCTAAGTTTACTAGGTTTGTTTTCTCTTTCATTTGTACCTGATGATTATTGCTTGTGTTGCAATCGAAACGTCGCATGCTATTATTTAATTAATTATTTCCTCTTTATACGTGACTTTACCGAAAGAACCAAAGAGTACATTTTGATTTAAAGCTTTCGTGACTGCAGGGATTCATCTTCTTGGTTCTTTTGGTGACTTTACCGAAAGAACCAAAGAGTAATTCCTGCAGTCACAAAAGCGCCAAATCAAGTTTGTTCAATAACAATTACTGCGATAAATAAATAATCCATTAAAAATAACTGTGTTCTTTAATTACCTTTGATGATGATGATGATGACGATTTGAAGACGATGGAGGTGGTGGTGGTGATGGCTGGGCCATGTAGGCCACCTGTCCAGCCACCACAGCTTGTTCGGGGGCTAAATGGGCACGGCATAAGCTAGAGAAGAGATGGAGTGATGTGGTACAGGAGGACGTGGAGCTGAGTGGACTTGCCGTTGGGGGAATTGGCACGCATCTAGTAACTTGCAAATTTGCGAAACTCAACGAATCCAGCGTTGGTGCGTAGCGTAGGTTTACTGTAATCAAACCTTTAGTTTAACACCTAGCCGGCTTTCGCAACCGACATCATCCATAATTTATATATTTTTGTTAATTGGATTGCGTAAATATAAATGTGTCGTTAAACCTGCCACCACCCGACATAGCAAATCAGGAAGCACCAGTGTATAGTGTACTAATGGGAAGTACCCGGCATTGCCTGGGGGGAAAATATATTTCGAAACTTGTCTTCTCTTAAAAACATAACATACACAAATACTAAGCTGTTGTGGAAGCCCGGTGTTCCATTTGTCTGTCCATTTGTCCGTCAACAAAATTATTAGAGGCTTGCAGAAGTCCTGAATCAAAAAGTAACAAAGTGGGGGGTAAATAGTTGATCTAAAAGGTTTCCGAAAATTGTCGACCCCCCCTAAAATAATGTTTTTACCCACCATAGGCAAATATACCTACACACCCTATATACAATAAAGTGAGTAGTATCTATTGATTCTATAGTAGCATCTATTGACTCTATAGTTGTATCTCGAAACTCTTTAGTAGTATCTATTGACTGTACAGTAGTATCTACTGAGTATAGTAGCATCTACTGACTGTATTGTAGTATCTATTGACTGTAGTAGTATCTACTGACTGTAGTAGTATCAACTGCCCGTAATAGTATTTACTGACTCTAGAGTCGTATATAGCAACTCTATAGGAGTAGAAACTTGATTTGGAGCTTTCATGACTGCAGGAATTACTCTTTGGTTCTTTCGGTAAATTCACATAGAAAGAAAAATAAATTAAATAATAGCATAGTATCTACTGATTATGGTAACTACTAACTATAGTATTATCTGCTGACTCTACAGTAGTATCTGCTGACTCTATAGCAGTATATGCAAACTCTATAGACGTATCTACTGACTCTGCAGCAGTATATTTTGACTGTAGTGGTATCTACTGGCTGTAGTATGTCTACTGACTCTATAGTAGTATCTAATAACTGTACAGTAGTATATACTGACTATAGTAGTATCTACTAACTCTATAGGAGTATCTACCGACTTGATAGCAGTAGAAACTGACTATAGTAGTATCTACTGACTGTAGTAGTATCTTCTGACTCTGTAATATAATCCATCGACTCTATAGCAGTATCTGCTATCACTACAGTAGTATATACTGACCATAGTAGTATCTAACTCTATAGTAGTATCTACCGACTCTATAGCAGTATATACCAACTCTATATTAGTATCTACCGACTCTATAGTAGTATCTACCGACTCAATAATCGTATATACCGACTCTATAAAAGTATATATCGACTCTAGCAGTATCTACTAACTATACAAAGTGCCGTGGTGAGGCCTAGTCCCGTGGAGAGCCGCCGGCCTCGCCTAGATTGCCCAGCCGGCCAAGGTGGCACCTTTGCAGGCTGGGGCTGGGCTGCTACCCCTCCCCCACCATCCCCCCACCCGCTCTACAGTAGTTGTATCTAAGGACTATAGTAGTAAGTGCACACATTGGGGTGCACTTACTACTGTGTTGGGTGGTGGCGGGTTTAACAACGTGATCTAACCCGAACCTTAAGCCCAAACCTTAAGCCCAACGCTGACGGGAAGCCACGTACGGGCACAATGCGCCCAGACAACGCTCCCACCACACCGCTCACCCCGCCCGTCCATACCTTTGCAGGAGACAAGAAGACTGCGAGCGCCCCTGGCGACAAGCGGCACGCGTGCGGGCAGTGCGGCAAGTGCTTCATGGGTGAGACGTCGTACGTGTGCCTTGAGTGCGGCAAGGGCTTCGCGCAGGCCTGCAACTTGAACTTGCAAGTGAGGACGCACACGGGCGAGAGGCCGTACGTGTGCATGGAGTGCGGGAAGAGTTTTCCCAGGTGCTCCAACATGAAGAAGCATGCCAGGACGCACACGGGCGAGAAGCCGTACGTGTGTGATGAGTGCGGGCAGGGGTTCACGCAGGCGCACAGCTTGCACCCGCACGCAAGGGCGCACATGAGCGAGAGGCCGTACGTGTGCGCCGTGTGCGGCAAGAGTTTTGCTTTTCGTCGCCACCTTCTGCGGCATTCGGTGACTCACAGGGAGGGGCCAGCCGTATGAGGAGTCCAGGGAGGGGGTCTTTTTTCCGAACACCGTTTTGTGGCGCACGCTGGGACGCACTCACGCGGCCGTGAGCGGCCGTGGGCTCGGGGGGCGTCGGGAATTATATCAAGAAAAAACTCTCCGTGTGCACGGAGACTACGATGGGAAGTACCTCGAGGAGTCTTAAGGAAATGAGACGTTTCGAAATACACCGCGAAAGTGCAGTGTATTCTACACTATACACTACACTACTATACACTACACTACTATACACTACACTATACGCTACACTCCTATACACTACACTACTATACACTACACTATACACGACACTATAGACTACACTATACACTACACCACACACTGCTATACACTATTAGTATATGAAATATACTAGTAACTAATTGGCGCGTTGTTTACGTGACAAACCTTACTGGCTGTGTCGGGTGGTGGAGGGTTACAACACATTTATACTTAATGCGATCTAACCCAAAATACTTTATGATTAATAAACACGCTGTCCCGACATTCACTGCAATCAATCTAATTTTAAGGAAACGTTTCCCAACACAGCTGTAGGTGTGGGTGATGATGACACTGCATCGACACTGCTCTTCAAGGTCCCCGTAGTTTGTTCGCGTAAGACTTTACCTTTAACACCGCCGGAGCTAAAACATCGAATGGCATTAAGTCGGGCGAACGGGCGGACTTTCCGCTATATCAGAAACTGGGGATTTTAACCTGAAACAAGTGCCAATTGATATATTCACAAACTAAAACTCGTAAGTCTAATGTATTTATAGAGATAAAATGTATGTCAGCATCACGAATAACAATTAAACTATTCAACTATAATAAGGGTTTTTTGGGTTAGATTTATACGTGATCTAACCCTTAAAAAACCTGTATTGTGGATGATATTGGTCACGAAAGCCTACGTGTTAAACTAAACTATTCAACTTCTTTGTATATTCATGTCGGACACCCTGTATATCTTATACCCCCACACACACACACACACATGTTCCTATTGAGTTGTTTTGTTCACATTAACATTGAGTCAGGATAATAATTTCTTACTGGTCAAGCTCGTAAGTGAGCAAGCTTTGGTTTCCCGCGCTTTAAAAACGACGCCTGTTATGAATAAAAAGCCTTTATTACCCTCTCCGGCAGTAATACTGGAGGTGTTGAGATATTCACACACCCAACAGACACACACCTCGTGCAGGGCATCATGGAGCGTCCACGTTATAACCACGCGCGTCACGCTTGTGGCAAAAAACGTGGAAACAAAGATGCTTTGAAAACAATGTGCGGCGTTGTCCTTAGACAGCCGATTATCCGACACCCAGACACGGCAATCCTTCATTGCCCTGTCTCTGCACCGGTGTTAGGAGACCAGAAACAACACCGGTGTTAGGAGACCAGAAAACAACACCTTTACAAGGGCGAGCAGTCCAAGGGCAATGCAAATATCAGATCGTTAACATGGCTCAGGCTGAGCAGTCATATAATGTAATAATAGGGTTTTTCCCCTTTTTTTCTGGCAACAAAACTGAAACCTTTTTGCAAGGATTCATGTCTGCATTAACCACAATACCTGCAGTCAAAATGCAAACAAAAAACATACTATGATAATATATGCATTGTCCTTGAAACTGATTGGTCCACACCAAGGGACGGCTATCTTTTGAGCCTCGACCCAACTGGTGCTCGACCACATGACGCCAGAAGGCGTACAGCTCAAAGACAATGCACTATCAAAGTAATGAGGGCTTGGGGTGAGCATCTACATCATTAGACCTCTTTGCCAGTACCAAAATGTAATAGTGTTTTTCCCCTTTTTTTCTGGCAACAAAACTGAAACCTTTTTGCAAGGATCATGTCTGCATTAACCACAATACCTGCAGTCAAAATGCAAACAAAAAACATACTATGATAATATATGCATTGTCCTTGAAACTGATTGGTCCACACCAAGGGACGGCTTTCTTTTGAGCCTCGACCCAATTGGTGCTCGACCACATAACACCAGAAGGCGTACAGCTCAAAGACAATGCACTATCAAAATAATGAGTGCATTGTCTTTGAGCTGTATGCCTTCTTGCGTCATATGGTCGAGCACCAATTGGGTCGAGGCTCGAAAGAAAGCCGTCCCTTGGTGTGGACCAATCAGTTTCAAGGACAATGCATATATTATCATAGTATGTTTTTTGTTTGCATTTTGACTGCAGGTATTGTGGTTAATGCAGACATGAATCCTTGCAAAAAGGTTTCAGTTTTGTTGCCAGAAAAAAAAGGGAAAAACCCTATTACATTTTGGTACTGGCAAAGAGGTCTAATGATGTAGATGCTCACCCAAGCCCTCATTACTTTGATAGTGCATTGTCTTTGAGCTGTACGCCTTCTGGCGTCATGTGGTCGAGCACCAGTTGGGTCGAGGCTCAAAAGATAGCCGTCCCTTGGTGTGGACCAATCAGTTTCAAGGACAATGCATATATTATCATAGTATGTTTTTTGTTTGCATTTTGACTGCAGGTATTGTGGTTAATGCAGACATGAATCCTTGCAAAAAGGTTTCAGTTTTGTTGCCAGAAAAAAAAGGGGAAAACCCTATTATTACATTTTGGTACTGGCAAAGGAGGTCTAATTATAGTCATATAATGTTGAACACGTAGGCTTTCGCGACCGATACCCATCAGGCTTTTTTGGGTTCGATCGCGTAAATATAAATGGGTCGTTAAACCCACCAATAATAGGTGGTGCATTTTCTGAGATTAACCAAAATTCATTGAAGCGTTAATGCCTACATCAACCCCCCTCTGGTCTTCGCATCGGATAGGCCCACAATGATAACACCATCACTCACCCAGGTTTAAAACCTCCTCAGTGTGCCGGGAAAGGTCCTGGCAAGGATTATTCAACATCGCCTTGCCAGGCACGCTGAGGAGAGGTTTGCGGAGCCCCAATGCAGTTTCAGGAAAGGGCGGTCCTGCACAGATGCCATATTTTCTATCCGTCTGCTACAGCAGAGGTATAGGGAATTCCAAGAAGACCTACATCTCTGCTTTATTGACCTGGTCAAGGCCTATGATACCATCAGTAGGCCTGGGGTCTTGGTTGTTCTTTGTGCTTTCGAAGTCCCTGGCCCTCTGCTCACGATCATTAAGGACCTTCATGATGGTGAGCGGGCCTGTTCAGTGTTGTATATGTGGGTGTTATGAAAATTGATGAAAATAATGAAAATTAAATTAAATTTGAATTTGCATAATTTACCCGAAGTTATGTTAATTCGTGTAATTATGCGCATAAATTATGCTGATTGGAGAGATAATCATATTACTTTATGCGAGTGGGTGTGGTTATGATAATGCAGGTCGTTATGATAATTAGGTCCAGCCTCTGTGACGAGGATTGTGTTATGAATTGGAATAACGCAATTAATCGTATGCAGTTTCGTAGGTGTTATGAGCATGAATGAGAGAGAGTCGGTTCGACTCTGCTATTTAATTCCGTATTATCGATAAGGATACGATTACTCTCGATTGAACATTATGAATTATGTGTTATGGATTATGTGTGGTGATAGGTCCCCTCAAGGTTCATAATCTCATTCGCAGAACAATTTTACGCAGAATTTCAGGAAGAATCACACACAACCTTTATGCTTTAATCAATTATATTTTCTAGCTAAACTTTAATTTTTGAATAAGATGAGAACTCTCAAATATCGGGATTTCAACACAGCATTAACATGGTACACATCACGATTGCGTTGTTTCACTTCGATAACGGCACCTGTGGTTAATTCCCGACGCGTAACGCAATCAATCGGTTGTTGAGAGATTAAAACATGCAACTATTCTATCAAAACCTTAACCTTATAATATGTAAATTCGTGTTTAAACATTGCCCACACAGTACCACATCCATTAATTGACCTTCAAGTCAATTCTTATCACATTGTTAACAGTAGGACGATTAGTTATTATGCAACTCAATGACAGCAGTATTTTTCGTTATGAATTGATTTTTAATGCACCACCTTGGAGTGGCAATCCTTCTTGATTATCCCGATATGCGTATCATGTGTCTTCTTTATGACTGGTTCAAATCTTTGCGTAAAGTAGACGCCGAGGTTAGCATCTCTTGTGTCCAAAATGTGTTTCCTGTGTGTTGCGGCGTGGTGGGGGAGTGAGGGGGAGAGTGTGGGGGAGGGGGGGGCATACGAACGGCTTTGTCACAGTTTCTGTCCACCGCTGGCTGGATTAGTCAGCACGACGCTTGCCGTCGTCGCACGATGATGGGTGTCGAGTGCGGGCCCGCTGCCCTCTCAGCGCTGGTGCTGATGGCGTGCGCTCTCTCTCCTTGAAGATGCGCGAACGCGCCCATGCTGGTTCGCTGACAGCCGTTCTCTCCACTGCTGGATGAGCTGCACCGGCGCGCGCTCTTTCTGTGGAGCTGCTGACACTTTGTTGGCGGCTGGCCAAGCTTTTTCTTCTGTTGAGTGAGTTGAGTCGCACTGCGTGTTTTTCAGCAACGCGCGCGACGTTTCGCCCCCAGGTGCTGAGGTCTTCTTCAGGAAATGAACGTGAAACATTTTCAGCACAAACTCAACGATACAGCGAAAACCTACACAGCGGTGTCAACTCCGAGGTCTTTTAAACAGCCTCCTGCCCTTTGGGAAATATGATCTATCTACTTTGCTGGCTACATCCGACGATTTGACAAATGAAGGGACAACCTTAATTGTCGCTTTTTTTGCCTATTTTACAAGCAAAACATCGAATTCGGCAAATGACACTGGCGTGCACAATGGCCCGCCCTTGTAAATTTATGTTACAAAGACTTTAATGCCAGTTGCAAATTTCCTAAAGAAATTACTGGGTGGTTTGTGAAATTGATCGGTCAACTCCACGCAAAACTGTTCCGGTGGTGAGCAAACTGACTGTTCAACCTGACCACAGAGCTATGTTAACCTGAGGAGG